AGTTGATGGAAGGGACAAACATTCATCTCTGTCCTGCATATGCATCCCCAAAGCTCAAAATAAAATGTTAGTGACCCTAAATATATTACAGCTCCCTATTGTGAGTTACAGTGGAGCATCAGCTGAAATAGAAGCAGGCAGTGGATGGTTGTTGCCTATAAGGGCAGCACTGTTTCTGTCTAATGGAAAGGAAAGTTGTTAGTAAAAAATGTCATTGAATCATTTTTGATGACTCATGGTAGTCTGTTCACTGGCATTTGACACCTTCCATCTGATGATTACCAAACACTTCACAGACATGAATGCATTAAAGTATATAATACTCCCAGGCAAGGTTCCCTCTAAGGTGTGCACATGCATGGCCGCGCACAACTAAAAGTGTGGCTGCGCACAGTCTTTTCAAGGCCGCGCACCAGGAGAGGTTGGCCCAGGCTCTGCCGGCTCCCGGGAAGTGCTCCACTCCCCGGCCCTGATGCGGGCACTTCCCTGGAGCCGGCAGAGCCCACACCAGCCGCCCGCTCCAGCCTCCCCCACATGGCCTCAGGGAGTGAGGAAGCACGTGGCGTCAGGGCCCAGCAGCGGAGCAGTGTCCCGGAGCTGGCAGAGCCTCACTGGGGCAGGCAGCAGCTCCTCCCCAAGGTGAGGCTGGCACGGGTGGCTGGCGTGGGCTCCTCTGGCTCCGGGGAAGTGCTCCACTCCCCAGCCCTGATGCAGGGGAGTAGAGCACTTCCCTGGAGCCGGGGAGCCTGCACCAGGCTCTGGCTCCAGCCCTGGGCTGCCAGCTCCAGCCCCTGACCCCTGGCTGCAGCCCCTGGCTCCCAGCCCCTGGCCTCCAGCTCCAGCCCCTGGCCTCCAGCTCCAGCCCCTGGCCCCCAGCTCCGGCCCCTGGTCCCAGCCCCTGGCTCCCAGCTTCCAGTTCCAGCCTCCGGCCTCAGCTCCAGCCTCGGGCCCCTGGCCCCAGCCCCTAGCCCTCAGCCCCCTTCAGTAAGTGTCCCACACCGGACCGAGGCGGTGCACTCACGGACTGCTGCTCCTTAGAGGGAACATTGCTCCCAGGGCCAGGAAACCATCTCTCTTGCCTATTTGAAGGAACAGGACTTAGAATGTTAATGGCATTGGTTTCCAATGGGTGGTGTCCAGAACTGCACAATGGCACGTTGTATGTGCAAACAGCAGGAGTTATGCCACTGCTTACTCTTTTCCTTTAAGTAGAGCAGAACTTGCAGAGGTTCATAAGCTTGGAATACATAACAGCCATAGGTGCATGAACCACTGTTGTGCAGGGATGAAGTTTGTATGTGTATGTATGTGAAGGCACATATTCACCTGAAAATATATCCCTAATTAAGTGACACAAAATCACATGGCAAGCCATTGTCACAGCCAGGAATAGAAGCTAGTCTTCCTGATGCTTAGTCCCTCTGTTCTAACCACCAGACTGCTACTGTCTTCATGAATACCAAGTGCATTGCATGGGATGGGTATATGTGTATGTTAGGGCTGTGCAAAGCTAGATAGCCAATTCGGTTCGGAGGAGATTCGGCCTGATTCGGCAACTGAATCTCCTAATCCAAATTGAATCAGGAGACCAATTAAAAGCTCAGAATTGAATTGGAAGCCTCCGAATCGACTCAGAAAAGCTTTGGCACCACTTCGGAGATTCAGCCATAGACCAAACAGGCAGCAGTCCTCACCATGCTGGACACAGCTGCCTCCAGCTGGTAAATCCATGGTGGTGGGCAGAGGGGGGAGGCAAGGGGAGTGGGAGGGGGAGGGAGGGATTGGGGCTGGGACAAGCTGCCCAGCCAGGGAGTGGGGCGTGGGAGGAGGGGTGGAGGGGTATGAGTTGCAGGCAGTTTGTCCCAACCCCAGCCCCAATCCCTCCCTCTCCTCCGCCCCTTCTCTCCCTGTTCCACCCACCACAACAGACTTACCAGCTGGAGGCAGCTGTGTCCAGCATGGTGAGGACTGCTGCCTGTTTAGTCTGTGGCCGAATCTCCAAAGCTGCAGCAAATCTTCAGATCTGATTCAGCCGAATCGAATCAAGACAGTGATTTGAATCTCTGAATTGAATCGCTGTCCCTCTGAACTGGCCAAATCCAAATCTGAAGTGAATACTTGCTACTTCATGCAGACCTAGTGTGCGTCACAAATCAGGCTACCTGAAACTTAGGCCCTAGCCTTCAAAGTTCTGGTCTCAGATTTTTCACTTCCATTTGTTTAAATTTACAGTCTAAAGTATTCACTTCTCCAGGGAAGGGCAGGGTGTTATGAGGAGGAAGGCTGATACCAGTGTGCATGATAGAATTTAATTTGACGTGGTCTGGCATGACAGTAGCCATTCACCAGCTTGCTGAAAGCTAATGGTATTTGCATTTTGCTGCCTAGCAAAATAAACAGTGTGCTAGCTCATGCTAGCCGGTTCATGGGGAGAGCACAACAGGGAAGGAGGGATTGTTGGTACACAATGCTGTAGCACCGTCTTGGTATTTTATAGAGATTAGCTCATGTAGTTGTTAGAAAGACACTGTATTCTATCTTTTCTTCTAAGTCCTGGATGAGTTTTATATACTCTGGCTTCCTGTGAAGTGAAAGCCTCATTCCCCAGAGTTGGATGCACCATCAGGCTCTAGAGAAGGCATTTGGGATGCTGGAGCTGTTTTAGTCAGAGGAGAGCAGAGAAGCAAGGTGAACAGGGAAAGTAAGAGAAGGAGGAACTCTGTAAACATGAAATAGGCCCTTGATGTGCCAGCTTTGTATCTGAAACCCATCTGGCAGTGGGAATGAGATCTAGCCACAGTGCTGGTTCATAGAGGAGGACAGATACATGGTTGTTGTGTACGTGTGCTCTTCCTCCCTTTCTGACCACGGGGGAAGTGACAGAATCCGAGATGACTTACCTCTACCTCCTACCTCGCAAAAGGCCCTTGACTGACAGGTGGGTCAGTGACTCTACAGTAATTTTCTGAGCACAGTGTTATCCTACGGTAAATGTGAGTTAGCCTTCATCCCAGTGAAAATGATGTGACCTGTCCTGAATTTACTATGCGGTAAGAGCATGCATGCAGACACTTACCATGGAGTAGCAGACAGTGTGAATTCACACCATCTCTTGCCTTCCCATAGCTTCTTTGCATGCTCAAATCGCAGGCCTTTTTCCTCTCCAGCTTCCTGATAACTGTGTCACTATGCTCTAGTGGGTGCATCTACATATGCTATTAAGGTGCTGTGATGAACTCCACTGCAGTTTGTGCTGGTGTCAGCTGCTCATGGGCACAGCGTCTGCATGTGCAGCTTGGACCGCAGCAGTTTGAGCTGGGGCAGAGCAGCCCTGGGGTTGACAGTGGATCTGGGGGTTCAGCCCCAGGCTCTGGGTAGTGGCTTCGGATGCTGGAGGAGCTGGCTGGGGCAAAAGGGTGCTATAGTATGGGGCTAGCCAGCAGGCAGCCCCTGCACTTTAGCACCCTGGGACCTCAGTCAGCCCCTGTCACCATCTACAGGTAAGTACTCCACTGTAAGATAATACTGTCCCAATCAGTATTATCTTATGGTGGAGTTTATTAATTTACTGTGCGCTAATACCAGCGTACATGTAGATGGTGATACTTTACTGTGGAGCTATTTAGTCAACTTTGCAGTAAAGCATGCATGTAGATGCACCCAGTGTGTCTAAACTATGGCTGCTAAAATAATTTTTCCCTGCAATTTGACCATAGAACCCTCTTTCTTAGTAGACAGTTCTCCATTCACAACTGCATTAAGTTAAAACTTCTCATCCTCACCTTGCAGGTGACTGGTTCAGCCAACTATTTAGATCTAATCGCGTCCACATTTCTTTCCTTTCACTCCACTAGAAGTGCCTCTTTCCATTCTGGCCCAAGGCACAAAGGTCAGGGAAGCAAATTCACCAGCCAGGCAACACCTTATAACAGGGGTGGGCAATTATTTTGGCTGGAGGGCCACTTAATGAGTTTTAGTGACCTGTCAAGGGCCACATCTGTCTCTTTTTCTGTCTCTGTTTCCCTCCTTCTAGAACCCGGCCAGAGCTGTAGTTTGCTATGAGCCCCAGCACTCAGATGTTGACCAGATGGGGACTTCCAGTGCAGTGGGAGATGGCAGCATCAGCTGTAGGCATAGCCATCAGGTTCCAGCACCCCAAAGCAAAACCTGCTGGTGGTGTCCACAGCTGACACCACCGCTGCCTGCCTGGCACAGCAGAAGCTCCTGCCTGGGCCCAGAACTGATGGCACTGGCAGGTTCTGAGTCTAAGCTCCAGGTGGGAGCTACTGCTGCACCAGGAGGGCACTGGCATCAGTTGTAGATGCTGTAGGGGGAAGGAGGGGTTCTGCACCAAGGCTCCTGAACCCACTGACGGTGTCCACAGCTGATGCCACTACCTGCCTTCCTGCTACCGCTGAAGCCCCTGCCAGGTCTATAGCTGATGCTGCTAGGAGGAAGCGGGCCCTCCTGGTGCAGTGCAAACAGACTTCCCTGCCCACCTGGCACCATGTGGTAGCCAGAGCTGGCACTGTTGGCCACCCGTGGACCATATCCAGTGAGTTGGCAGCCATGGACCAGATCAAATCTGTTGACAGGCTGCATCCAGCCCATGAGCCCACCCCTGTCTTATAACCTGGCTGGTGGATGCTATCCTTTTAGAGCAGCAGTAGTGAATTCAGAGCAACTTGGCTTTGCTTCGTACCTCGCTTGGGAGATTCCTCCTTCTCATCAAGTTTCAGACCATGTTGTGACCAGCTACTTGGGCTTGGCCTTGCGGGGGTGGGGGGGAGAGTAGGGAAGAAGATAATCCCAAGAGGGAATTTGCTGGATTTATTCCAGAGGAAGTTTTGTATTTTCGTTGCGTCATATAGATGTGTAAGGACATTCTAACCTGCATAAGCAGAAGTGACTAAGTGAAGGCTGCAGTCTGCTAGCTCTTGATAGTATGGCATGCAGTTCTGGTATTTTGTTGTTTATGTTGTTCTATTTGTTCCTGATAGGTCAGCCCTCCTGGACACACCATCGGGGTGCTGAGGATCCTGACTGATGCATGCTTACCTTGACCTGACTTCTGGAAAAGAACAAGTGCTGCTCTCAAAGTTTGCTAGTACTGAGGTAAATGAGGTAGATGACATATCTGACCCTGCGGGCTCTGAGATCAGGCTTTGGGTGGCTGTTAACTACACCATTTGGGGATGACTTTTTCTCTGGAGTGGCTGCATTTCTGATTCCTACCATAGCTGTTGGGGAAGATTTGCATTCATAGATTCATAGATGCTAGGGTGAGAAGGGACCTTAAAGGATCATTGAGTCTGACCCCCTGCCAGTGACAGGAAAAAGTGCTGGGGTCATGTGACCCCAGCCAGGTGCCTGTACAGTCTTCTCTTGAAGACCCCCAAGGTAGGGGAGAGCACCACCTCCCTTGGAAGCCCATTCCAGATTCTGGTGGCCCTAACCGTGTAGAGTTCTTTCTGATGTCTAACCTAAACCTACTCTCCATCAGCTTGTGGCCATTGATTCTGGCTATTCCAAGGGGTAAACAGAGTGTCCTCCTATTCCCTGCTCTCCCCCCGTCTGTCCTCCCCCCCCCCGGTGAATTTGTATACTGCCACAAGATCTCCCCTCAGTCTTCTCTTGCAGAGGCTGAAAAGTTCCAGGTCCCTCAGCCTTTTCTCATAAGGCCTTCCCTGCAGGCCTCTAACCATATGAGTGGCCCTCCACTGGACCCTCTCAAGGTTGTCCACATCCTTCTTGAATTGCAGTGCTCAGAATTGGACACAGTACTCCAGCTGCGACCTGACCATTGCTGCATAGAGGGGGAGCATCCCCTCCCTGGACCTGCTCACAATGCACCTACTAATGCATGACAAAGTGCAGTTAGCTCTGCTAATTACTTTGTGACACTGATGTCTCGTATTGATCTTGGAGTCGACAATGGTGCCGAGATCTCTTCCTGCTGCTGTGCTGCTGAAAAGGTCATCCCCCAGCCTATAGGTGTGCTGGTGATTCCCTCGCCCTAGGTGCAGCACCTTGCACTTGTCCTTGTTGAACTGCATCCTATTGTTCTCTGCCCACTTCTCTAACCAGCAGATGAATTTTGTTTTAAAGAGAATTGAATTTTTGGGGAGATCAAAATTGTTCATGAATTTAAGTGACCTTGGGCATATATTTTCTAGTGGGAAAAAAAATGGGGAAAAAATCCAGAAAGTCTAAATACTGCATTTTAATACTGATGAAACAAAATGTTTTGTGTTTTTCCCCCCATTTCAAACCATGTTTTTTTTTAAATAGATGTAAATCTAAAAGAGCATTTTAAAAGGGTCCAAACACAAATAAAGTATTCCACTTCAGGTGGGATGAAATGTTTCAGGTTGATTGACTCAAATTACCGTTACATTTCCTTCCAATATTTGTTTGTCTGCTTGGCCTCAAGAACCATCACTTGCATCACTCTCATTGTGCTGAATCAAGGAAACTGGAGCTACAAGACAGGGGAGGGGCGTAGTTCCCTAGTTTCCAGCTAATGCAACATTGCTCCCTGCAGTATTCTCCTTAGCCTTGTTTTAAATTATGGGATTTCCCCCGTTTCCCTGAGGATACTAGTCCAAAGTCTAATAGAATCAATCTGCTTATTTCCCTCTTAACCCCTGACCATGGCAGGCACAATTAGTTGTTGGTGATGGGAGGGTTTGGGTTTTTTGTGTTGTGAAGGCTGCTCATGCACACAGCTCCCTGTTTAAAAGCACCACAGGGTTGCATTGTGTGTCTCGTCTAGCAGGTAAGTTTATAGTTTTGTGTATGTGAAAGACCACAAACTTACCTGCTGTCTGTCAGATATCGTGTGTCTGCCCATAGCCACTTGTCCACCTAAACTACTGTGCTCTGCGTCACAAGCCTTTCAGAGTTCTGCTCAGTAATATGGGAGCTTTGTCACCTACCTTTGTTTATGGCATAGAAAGGCAGAGAATAATGTAGTCAGACACCAGGAGGGACAGCATCAAGGAAGAGAAATATGTTTTCTCACACTGCAGACTGGTTGGGCCAGTTTTGTCTCTGAAGCTGAAACACTTCTTGACTCCATTTAGAAGCTAACATCATCCGTTTTGACATTGTTGAAGGATCTCCCTGTGTCTCCCCCCTTCCCCAATACAGTGGCCTTTCTTAGATGAATGAAGTCAGTGGCCTCTTTCAGTGTAGAAACCTGGAATAGCCCTAAATAATCCTATTTTGGTTTATCCAAAAAGGGCCAAGGAAGGATCATTTTCTGAAGTCCTCACCAGGTTTTCAGACAGTCAAACAAAGGAGGGGACTTGCCTTTGGAAAACAGTTCCAATGGTAGGGAGGTTTTGCCTGCTTGTCAGTCCCCATTTTCCCTTTCCTAATTCTATCTTTTATCCTTTGGGTCCCTTTTTCTGTGCATGAGGGGAAAACAGTCCTTTCTCTCCATGGAAGAACAGCAACATTTTACTCTTTGTAAGTCTGGGAGCATCTGGGCCAGATTGGTCAATAGCTTGATCAATCACACACTTTCAGAAGCTCCTGGGGATTAGGAGGATAGGGCCTGACTGCATGGGAACACTGTTGTGAGATAAGTGGTGGTATGAGTTTAAAGTGCAATGGCTATTCTGCAGTAATTCCCCTGGTGAGCGCACACATTCTGATTCTGAACTAGGATTGCCTTTTCAGATTTTAGGTTAATCCATCAGTAGGGGAACTAAATGGGCCATGTGAGGCACCAGTTCTGGCAGCACTCTACCTAGACTCCTGGCAGCCCCAGGCAAACATTTAGTATCAGGCCCCTCTTTGCCAAAGATAATGATAATAATAATTTTCAAATTACCATTTTTGGGCCCCGGGCAGCCGCCTGGTTCACTATGCCTGTGTCCGGCTCTGAGCTCTGGGAATTGACTTGGAGGGGCACAAAAATAGCACCTGCTGCTGTTGCTGGCCTGGTGCCACTGGTAGAAGCCCGGCTGCTGCCACAGCCCTATGCGCCGTCACTACCAAGGGCAAAAAAAAAATGCCCAGCTGTGTCTCTGTAATCCACTTCCATTTAAAAACACATTTTTAGTGTGAATCAGGCATGTCCTCATTTTGAAAAATATGGTATAGTTATCATACTGAGCTGTTTTTTCCATGTAGCAAAGCCTAAGCATTTAAATGGTGATCTCAAAATGATTTATAGACCTAGTCAATTTAATAAATTCTGTGAAATTTTACTGTACTTATCAGAACAGTATTTCTTAAGCCTGAGGGATAGAGTTACATAGATTTAGTATGTTTGGAAAGAAAGAAGGTTTGTCTGTTAAGCCCAAAGCCAAATTACCCATTGTTTTTTAAATGCTGTAATCACTTATAATTTCTCTTCAGCTGTTTTTTCAGTGGTCTGCTGCTTCATGTCTATTTGTAGTACATTTTAAAGGAGGAGAAAGTGGTGACTGAAGCAAGGTGTAATGATCCATAGAGCTTTACAACATCTGCAGCTGGCTTTTTCCGTTTCTGCTTTCCTTGACAGACTCAACTCCACCAGGGGTTTCAGCTATCCTGGGAAGAAGAATTGGGTAGTAGATGTCACATGTACTCTCAGACACTCTCTCTCTCTCGTACATTTATCTTTGTGCTGGCTTTTAAAAGGACTGCATTAGAGTTGATGTTGTGGAGTACAAGTCACACTTCAAATTAAGATCCTGGGGATAGTCCTTTCAAAAGCTGCATTTCTCAAGCTGGGAGCTATTGACCTCTTTCAGTGCAGACACACAACCGAAAGGAAATGGGGGATGAGGGCCGGCAGGGAATTTTTTGTTTTTACTTCACCTCTCAGGCTGAGCTATTGTTTGACCTTCCACGCAGGGCTCTGCTTACCAACAGGAAAGGAAGCATTACACTAAGTTCTTTTAGAAAATTGATATTTACTGTCATCTTCTCTTTGTGATATTTGTTCTGCTTTTGTGCATGAAATATATGGACAAAAGGAATCAAAGTGGATTGTGCAGTGCATATACCTGCCTTGGTATATACTGTGGATTTCATCTAGATGCTCTAGTTGCAGTTTACTAGATCACACTAAGTGAAGAAAATACTAAAACTCAGCTGCAGTGTTAGGGGCAAAAGTCATCAGTAGTGATCCTGGTTTTCCCTGATAAAAAATCACAGATTCTCTGATTAGAAGCTCAAAAGATGAAACACTGACACACACGCGCGCGCACGCACACACACACACACGTACGTATTGGTTGAACACAATGTCTTATTGATATATTTACAATTTTAAAGCAATTTGGAAGCCTACCAATGCCTCAATAACTATAATAAAATAAATTCTAAATACCTCTAGCTTTTGGTATTTGGTTTTGGGATGTTTATCAGAGAAAATCTGAACTTCCTCTGTCTCCTTAGCTCACAGAATGCAGCTCCAGGCACTTCACTCCCAAGTCACAGCCTCCCAGCCCTGATGGTGCCCCTCACTCCCCTCCAGCCCTGTCGGAGGGGGCCCCCAGCTGCCAGGGCTAAGGGGCCAGGGACTTGGGTCTGCATCCCCCCGCCAAACCCTGCTGCCACCCAGGGGAGGTAGCGGCAGTAGCTGCTTCAGTGTAGAGGAGTGTTGAGCCCAGCTCTACCCCTCTCTTCCTCCGCCTCCAGCCCCCGCCTCCTCCCACCATGGCAGCACAGCTGGAGTGGAGCTGATGCGGGGGGGCATGCAGACTGCCCACTGTGGACTTGGGCGGGTGGGGAGGGAGGGGTTTGGCTCCACGCTTCTGCGTGCACTCCCAGGGGGAGTGCACGCCCTCCTCTCATTCCCCCCAGTCCCTTGCAGGCTGGAACTCTGTTCTTCAAAGTATGATTGTGGCTGCTCTCTGAGCAATCCTGCACTCCTTAATTTTGGCTGAACCTCTGGAGATTTGTGAACAGAACTATACTCTTTCCAGTTCCTAGATTTAGCCCTTTCTTGCTACAGGAAGAGTGCCGCTGTCTCCCAAGAACTACACAGTTATGCTTCCAAAAAGAGACGTCACTCACAGTAAGTGGTGCAGAACAGTGACCCCTCCTGCTCCTCTCTTACATGAGGAATGAAGTAATCGACAATTTTTGACATTTAAGCAATCATTACTGGGTAT